CTCGATGATGCTTTTAATAACCTGCATTATTCACACAAAGTTAACTGGCCCAATGATGCATATCATAAATTTATGAAAATAATCAGTAGATATCAACTGTCTAATTCGGTTTGTGATGCTTTTATAAAATTTTTCAATAAGCATTCAAACTTGGATGTTTTGCTTCTCTCTCTAACAGCAAAGATTAGAAAGGAATTTCTGGATAATTTAACAATCCCTTATATGATGTTCAAAGAAATTCCTATTATAACGTATCAAGGTGTTAAGTATACATTATACTATCGATCATTAATAAAGATAATAAAGTCTTTATTAATGATCGATAGTATAAATCAGCAATTGGTACTTAACTTTAAAAATAAAAGGGAAATAAGAAATAATGTGGAGTGCCGCATCTTTGAAGAGCAATATAATTGCTTCTGGTGGGAACAAGAAGAATCATCATTACTTCTTGGTCAATGATTACTATTGATAATCCTTTATTCCGATGCAACTACTTTAGACCATATGGGGAAATCTTCTGAACACCCTATATTTTTATCCCTAAATAACAATTAGAGTTTGGATTCGGCTTTATTTTTCATATTATAAATCGGTTTTAATCAGTTTTAACATATGAAAAATAAAACCGAGTTCAAACTCTAAGTAACATTCCCAACTCCCAGCGAAACAAACCAGAATCTAAAGCTTTAATCAGATACTTATCTATTTTAAAGGCTAAAGATTCCACAATAAAAAAATCTAAAGAATTTCGAAAATTAAAAAGAAAAGTCTTTCATGAATGCTTAAGGATTTTAATCAAGCCCATTATTAATAATCCAGAGCTTAATTTGTTATTCATGGCAATATAATAATATTTATCCCACGAATTTCTATGTTATTAGCTGACTTGCTTAAGACCAGCATGTTGGCTAACGTTTATCAGCCATCTGCATCAAGAAGGCCTTGTTATTCATGTTTAGTATCAAGAGATGACTTGAATAATAGTGACTTGAATAATATGTTACCAAAATTATTATTCAATTCATTTTGAACTAAATGCATTTTGGGAAATAAGATATAAATTAAAATTAATTAGGTTTATTAAATAAGTAATATAATAACTGCATTTATCTTTTTTTTTATTTTTAAGCAATTTTAATATATATCAGATCATTGTCTTTGATCGAATGCATACTTTAGATCTTGGTCTTTTTAAATATATACTAGACTATACTAAAGACCTTCTACATGATCAGTATAAAAGACAAGTAATACAAATCTTTGAACAATGATTAACACTAATTCCCAGACATCAGGGCCTCAAAATATTGAAAAATATATCTGATTTGACATGCATGACAACAGATGAATTCAGAAATTTAATGAAAATAATAATTTTCACACTTGACAATCTATATAAAAATTATAGGATGCCAGAAATTAGTAATGAACGGTTATACCGCATATATTATAAATTTCTTCAGATATATATTGCATCGCAAGAAGAATCATTTACTGACGATTCTTTAAATCAATTACAGGTACAAAACAAATTGAATCTTTGCTAACAACCTCACCCTTCAGGACTATGAATTATATAGTCTTGAAGGGTGAGTTTTATAACAAAGATCCTAAATACTTAGCTTTTTAAAACGATTTGATTATTAATGATTAATAACGATTAATTTTACAGACCTTTATTTTGAACTGGGCCAAAGAGTTTGTTAAAATTTTTTCAAAATACAATTCAAGTGGTCTCCAGCTTTCAAAGCTTCACTCTTGGTACCATCATATAGTACCTGTAATTAAAAAATATGAGTTAATCAATGGTATGACTACTGAAACTTATAAAACACTTCATAAGGACTATGTAAAAATACCTTATTGAATATCAAACAAAAAAGACTATATGAAACAAATATTGAATGCAGTATGTTTTAAATATAGTAAATCAGTGTTGGCATTAGACATATGCCCAATACTAATAATGCTACCTAAGTATCGCTAATAATCAATTATTATTAGGTTAAGCAGAAAAAACTAACCAAAACAAATGCTTACAAAAAATATCACCGAATGAAAGGGTTTAAAAAATCTTTATAAGCATTAAGTTTAGAGGAGCTGGATAATTTCCTTAAGAAAAACAAAGATGATATAGACCCATTACAAATTGAAGGGTTTCAAAACTTATTAACTGGTTTTGATGATTTTTTTGAAGTAGAATCAATTGTATCCCTTGACGAAGATAATCGGATAGAAATATTTTCTTTTGCATTTTTAAAAAGTATTGATATAATTCATGCTTCGTTAAATTTTCATAGAAATCCAATGTTTTCTAATATTATAGTAAGTGCACTTGATGATCAAAAAAATGAAGTAAATTGGTATAGCTTGGTAAACATTGATTTCATTATATTTGATTTATACATGATTTTAATGCATTTTTAATAATAAATAACGATAATAATAATAATGATTATAAGCGACGAAGTTAGAAAATATTCTTACTATTCTCTAACTTTATAAATAACATATACTAATACAAATAAAAAAAAATATTATTTATAAGATCCTGTTAATACTCAAATTTCACCAAGTGATAGGCAAAGATCCGTTAGAACTCGTTCTTGTTCATTGGTATGAAGTAAATGGTGAATAGTAAGAATGTCCGAAATTAAAATTAATTAAACAATACAATTGTATACCTATTAAAAGTATAGATAGAACTGTATATATAGTTGCAAGATTTGAAAAAACAAATGAATATTTTGTAAACAGATTTATATTCTAATATTTAAAGCATATATTTAAATCAAAGTTTTATTAATTAATATATATGCTATTGATCGATTAATAATGCAATAATCGATATATTGCGATTTTGACTTGTTTGATGATAATCGATAATTTGATCTACATCGATTTATTATCTATTTTCGTTATTAATCGATTTTTGATATATATCGATTTAAAACAGGTTAATCGATGTGTAACGTTTAATTTAAATTAATATAAAACGTTTATTGCGATATACATCAATTTCTATCTATTTAAAAAATTTTCTGATGAAAATAGCACGTGATGATCTTGAAACTTGGACTAACTTATATATCATATGTTCCAGGTGAGATTAGATAAATTGGCAGGGAAACTCAGATCAGAGGGTTTAATTAGGTAACTTAAGTAATAGTGGATTATAGATACGGCATCTAGTGTAGAACCCAAAAGCCACAGGTATAGCTAGAATATATTCTCGTCAGAATGTACTTGTCTAGGGTCCCTTTGAAACAAACACCACATGATTCTATAAAGTCTAATAAAAGCGGGAAGCCAAAGAGGCTAACCTTGACTACAAAAAAAAAAAATTATAAAACCATCTTTTGACTCTAAAAAAAAAATTCATTGTAAAATTTTACTATAAACTATGCCTTTTACTAACTCTAACCTCTAACCTTAACTATAATATTAATAAAATTATTATTGTTTACTTGTATTTTTAATAAAAATTAATTGTAGATCATACCCGTGTTTCAAACACCCGTGTATATTTAGTAATTCACTTAAATTTTAACATAAAAAAAGCAAAAATTACAAACTTATAATTTATTTAATGTCGGGGATGATGCTGAAATCGGATGATAATTTGGAGTCTTAATTTGAAAATATAAACCATACTAAAATCCACCTATACTCTTTTATTATAAACACTACCCTAAATTCTAATCGAACTATAAAAAAAGAGCAGAACAAAACACCAAAAAAATTTTCAGCATCCCGACATTTAATAAACATTTTTACTTCGTGAGCAGCTAATCTTATATAATAAACCTCTTTATATCAACATCAAAAATTTCAAATTTTATAGCTTTTCAGTATCTCAATAAAACAAACTTTTCTGTAATACATTTCTTTTTTTAAAACCTTTTACAATAATAATCGGACCTTTGCTACCTTTCAGAACTATGTAAATCATAGTCCGAAGGATGATTTTGTTAGCAAAGGCCCCAATTAATTATAATTAAAGTAACTTCTAAAAAACTTTTTAACCTTACACGAATAAAAAGTTATACCTAGCCCGTGCCGAGGCACGCTAGTTAATTGTAATATACGGATATAAAAGCCTAAAATTATTATTATATAAACAATAACAAAATATATAGCCAAATTTAAAAAACTGTTAATATATACGTATACCTCGTGCGAGGTAAACTTAGCATATATATATTCATATACCCTGCGATGTTATGTGAGATGTGAATTATAATCTATAGTAAAAAAACTTAATATATCTATATGTATTACTATATACTAATTATCTTTATCTTAATTGAATGCCTCACCTTGCGCAAGGTGTGTCGCGGGTGTGAATTTCGTCACCTCGCACGAGGTACTTAATATACAATATCTGTATTTTAAAATTTTAATTATAAAACAACTTTTGAATTTTAACAAAGATATTGCTTAGAAAGTAATTAATATAAATTGTGTATATATAATTTCCTCTAACAATAAGGTTAACTCCAACCTAAATGTTACTTTTTGCTTTATAAAAATTAAATTTATAATTACATAAAATATAACGCAAATACTGTGTAAATAGTAAATTTTCTTTCTAATATATTTAATACGCATGTATATTTCCTAATATGTATAGATTTTTTTAAACTATATCAATAAGTTAGATTCCATATACTTGCATCAGGAATGGGTCTGTGAAAATATCCCATCAATTTTCTACATTGTTATATAACCCGAATTTTCGAATATAATATACTGGTTGATCTGTAAGCTTTCACCCAAATAGTAAAGTGATTAAAGTTTATAGAATAAATTTATCTTGTGATGACTCTAATTCTATAGGTAAAAGATATAAATCTCCAAAATTAGTTTTGAAAATAAATCTAACTATTCTAAAAATTATACTATCAAAGTATTTTAAAACAAATATTAAAATTGTTTAAAAGAAATTAAATCCATTGATAGGAACCAAATTCCTTGAACCTTCAAACTTTGATTGTTCAAACTTTTATTGATCGTTGGAGTTGCTTTTTATAATCTTCAATAGACCCTTTAAATGGTACTACAGTTTTATCCTTACATAACCGTATATCTTGCGCAACTTGGGATATAAGACGAAAATCATGAGATACTAATACTACTCCTCCGGAAAATTCTTGAATAGCCCGTGCTAACGAATCAATACTTTCCATATCCTAATTCACGTTGAGTTTGAAGCAATGGAAATATTTAAGTACAAAGCAAAAATAAATATAACCATATTTATAGTTTAAGGAAACTTACCAAATGGTTAGTAGGTTCATCCATAAGTACAATATCGGGAGTGGACAATACCAATTCTGCGAAAACTAATCGAGTCTTTAAACCGTCACTCAAGGTTTTGATCAATGATGTCTGATGAGCCCCTGTAAGACCGTATCGGCCAATTTGGTTGCGCCAAAACTAAAAATAATGATAATTGTTTGAGACTATATTAGGAATAACTATGCAGTGAGAAATATTTATGAAAAAGCTTACATCAACATCTCCATTCATATGAGAAAATTTCTTTCTCATATATTGAATAGGGCTCAAATCCATATCAAGCTGATCAGCACTATGCTGACTATATTTAGCCAATTTCAAGTTTGTATGTCGAGCAATTCTTCCTGTGACGGGCTGAAGTTCACCTATCATCAGCTTGAGTAGAGTTGATTTACCAACACCTATAATAAATAATTAATTAATTAAATTGAACTTTCGGAGTAAGAACATTAGCAATAAATAAATACCATTTGGGCCTACAAGGGCGATTCGGGAATCCATATCGACAGCAAGGTCAAGATCCTTGTATAAGAGATCTTTTGGTTTGGTACTTCCATTATAGGAGAAAGAAACTTGGTCAAACTGTAATACAGGCGGTGGAAGTTTTTCAACATCTGCGAATTTGAACTTGAATGTTGATGGAGTCTCTACCTATGAAATTTGAGAAATGTTATATATAAAAATTTATTATTCACATGTTAAAAGATAAAAGGCGATACCAACCTTTTCAACTAATCCAGCAGCCTCCATCTTGTCTATAATCTTTTGTTTACTCTTGGCTTGCCTAACCAAATTTGCGTAAGTACCAGCCGAAGCAATGAATTTCTTGATATGGGCGATTTCATCTTGTTGTTTGTGATATGCTTTCATCTGGTTTACTTCTAATTCGGCCTTAGTTTTCACGAAAGTAGAGTAACCACCACCATAGTAATTTAATTTCTTTTTTTCCTGTTTGTGATAAATAAAGTTCAACCGTTAAGAATACATATAATACAATTTTACGACAGGTTTATGAAACGAAAACTTACGGTCAAATGTATTGTTTGATCGCATACACCGTCAAGAAAATCTTGGGAGTGACTGACTAATAACAAGATACTAACAAGTGCAAATATATTAATATTTGAATATTTTAAATATGCCATAATTCAAATTTATAAACCGAGTACACCTACCGATTGTACGTTTTCAAATATTCTTCAAGCCACACACAAGCTTCCAAATCCAAATGATTGGCTGTTCAAGAATACGTATTAAAGTTATTATAGAGAAGTACTCATATTAATGTAAAAGAGAATTAAAATAAATATAATTACTAGGTTCATCTAATAATAATAATGTGGGCCTAATAAATAAGGCCTTTGCCAAAGCAACTCTCATTCTCCATCCACCAGACATATCTCTAGTTTTCTTGGCCATCATGGCTTGTGAAAAACCTAGACCATGAAGTAAAGTGCTGGCACGAGCTTGAAACGTCGACTCGTCAAGAGCTGCAATTCTATCATAAAGATCTTCTAATCTAGGATCTTCATCGTTTTCTGTCAACAAGTCTTCAACTTCTTTTTCTAGACTATGTAAAATATAAAAATAAATTAATAATGATTTTTAGAATCAATCTTTTTAAAATATATTTACCGAGTGATCTCTTCCTTTGCAGCTTGAATGACATAATCGATGGCGTTGAGATCACACGGGTCCGCTTCTTGATTTAATAAATAAATCTTTAAGTAACATATAGAGAATATAATTATTAATAAGAAAGATGAAACCAATGATCTTTATAATTTTCAATTATAGAGCTTACATCAATATGCTCCGGAATTGGAACCTCTCTTGCAGCCAAAGATTCTAAAAAAGTGCTCTTTCCGCTACCATTTGAGCCCACAAGACCATATCTAAAGAATATAGAATGGCCATAAAATCAATAAAAAAAAAAAGATCAACTCAAGTAGGATGTAAACATTACAATCAAAAAATACCGTCTGCCAAAATTAAGTTCGATTGTGGCGTTTTCAATTAGCACACGACCAAAGAAAGACAAACTATATTGTTCGATCTTGATGTCTTTTGCCATTGGCTGTGATGTTAAAACACCGTTTGCGGTCCTCTCGCCAGAGATCTTTAATGAATCAAGAGATAGATCACTTGCTGCAGTAGAGTTTTTATTTTTTTTATCTGCTGATCCAGTACCATTGACGGTACTTTCAGCAGTTGCCTTTGTGGCGGTAGCAGAGCCGCTCTTGGCAGCTTTTTTTGCCATGCGTTTTTGCTTTGAAACTGATGACATCGTCACGGTAAAGGTGTAAAATGGTTAAGATGAAAGAAGAAGCTTCCAACGAATGTGTGTCAAAGTACCACCGTTGTGAACGTCTGAACAAAATCGGCAGCTTTTTTTTTTTTTCCAAGAAAACTTTTTTCAAGATTAGTAGAACAACGGGAATTAAATGGGCCATTATATACTTGTGCCAAACCACGTGAAACTTAGCGCATGTTACGGCCGCATGTCAATTGCTCGGGTAACTTATTTATACACTTTAAAGTACTTTTTGTAAAAGTGTAAAAGTAATATCTAAATATAGATTAGAAAAAAAATTGGCATAGACCATTATAATAACATTTATGTCATTAAAAATTTTTTTAAGGCATGGCCTCACCTTTGAAGATTAAAAATTTTTAAGATACACATGATTAACATATTAGTTTCACTATGCCAGTACTAAATGCACGGAAGAAAAGTTCAACTGTACCAATATATAGAATGGAATTACTGTTTAAAATACACGATAAATTAGAAGCTTCGTTAACAGTGCTTACTTGTATATTGAATTTCTTTGATTAATTTGATTGGTCAATACCGTAAGTGGTCACATCGGATATACGTACAATACCATTCAGTTTTCGTGTTAAAACCAGTCTGAACCGATTTAAACATGAAAAATAAGATCACAATACCATGGTATACCTGGGTCTCACCAATTTTTAATTTTAAACCTCTAAAAGACCGCTAAGAGTTTATATTATAGAAAAAATGCTCAAATATTCAACCAAACCCAAATTCCAAACTTATTTGACCTGTCATAATCCAAATACTAGTAAAATTCAAAACCTTACTTAAATCCCAACCCTAAAATTTATTAATTATAAGTTATATGGTAAACATGCATGCAATTGAGATCTAATTCTGCAATTCTGCAATTTTTGATTGCTCTCAAATAATGTGATATCTTGAAATTTAAATTTTTTATACTGTAATTTGAGAGAGCCTGCAATAACTACTAGTAATAATATTTTCGAGATCTAGGATGGGATTTCAAATTTGGAATTTGGGCTTGGGAATTCGGGATGGGATATGGAACTTGGAATTTGGATGAGATTTGGGTTTGCGATTGGGATTTGTCTAGTTTTGTCACATAGGATTTTTAGACAATCTTATTTGTCCATGATCAAATTCCAAATCCCATGAGTTTGCGGAAAATCTACAGACAGTGCGGTATTTATGCTATTAGGGCATTTCTTGCGGCCAAACAATTTTTTGGCCAAAATAGACAATGGTCAATGGCCAATGGCTAGGATCCAAGCTTCAGCCAAAAGTTTCTAACTTATATAACATTAACCAATCATATTGATAGCTTTTTGGCCCAATTCGGCCAATGGCCACGGTCATTTGCCAGCCAAAATGGCCAAGTGACCACACTGTATTAGGGTATATAATTTTTTAATTGCACTGTCCCTAAGGCAAAACTTTCATTTTTGATAATCTTGCACCTATCAAAAAAAAAGTAGGTATAGGTGCATCAAAGCACTATTTGTAGATTTCGTAATGGTAAATATATTTAAAGACACGTAAGAATTCTGTGCCAATCTCGATTAATATAATTAAGATCTCAAAAATTTTGCTTGTGAAACAGCTACCTCTCATAATTTTGGTATAACCCAACTTAACACTAACCGCAAAATCAGCTTAATGCAGGCAAATGTCGATGAAATCCACTGAGGTCGATTAATCTGAATAATCGACCAAAACTTGGCACAGATTTTTTACACAAGAGTAGAATCGCCACCCAAAAAATTTCAAAGTAAAATTTCGCGCTGTTAGGTTAAGGTTTTTGGCCTTGCCCTTAAGTTAGGGGCAGGCAGGTATTTTATACATCAAAATTTTAAACATCACAATTTTACAAGAAAAATTTTTATACTAATGCGCATAAGCGATTTTTGACAAAACGAACGTTTGTCTTGATTTTTCTGATCATGCTACGTTTAGTGTTTCTAGTTGAGTTGCCAACTATAGTTGCAAATGATGCAAACATTTATTACGTAGGGTAGTGGCATTACGGCTATGACGCAGGAGTTGTACTACCTCAAGATCATATTGCCGTAAGTAGTGTAGTTTATTAACCAGTTTGGAACACTGCAATTATCTTTAGTTGCTTAATTTATATTAAAGCAGGTTTTGGTGTGTGGTTATACGTAAACAGATATGTATTCTTAAAATGGTTGTTTGACGTTTTTTTTAATTTAAGCACGTTTTCTGACAAAAAAAATAATGAAATATTCCCAGCGAAAAAGAAGTGATAACAATTCGTGAGGGTGAATTTCTCACTGAGTTATTTGTCGAGTTGTTGTGTATTCAAAGTTACGCTGTCACATCGGTGTAAATATCTAGTAAAAAAATTGAAAGCACATCGTGGCCACTGTTTTAGCAGCGAACGTTCTTTCTTCTAGTTTCCGGTGTTCCCGAGTAGAGTCCGGAAAAAAAAGCCCGGCTAATTTCTGAATTTTTGAAGGCTGTAAACATAGTGTACTATAATGAATGTCTAGGCCGAAATTAGCATATATAATTAGTATGTAATAAACTCACTTTCAGCAAACGGGTTCCATTTGTTTTCACATGTGGGCCCAACGGGCCGGCCCGTAGGCCCGGCCCGTTGAAGACTTACTAGCAGCAGGCACATGTGAAAACAAATTGGAACCCGTTTGCTGAAAGTGACATACTAATTATATATGCTAATTTCGGCCTAGACATTTATTATAGTACACTATGTTTACAGCCTTCAAAAATTCAGAAATTAACCGGGATTTTTTTTCCCTATTCCCGAGCTGCCTAGGCACTGGGAATTCATGATGAATAGGATA